TTTGTTGCCTGTTGGCTTTTGGTATTTTAGACATGAAGTCCTTGCCCATGCCTATGTCCTGAATGGTATTACCTAGGTTTTCTTCTAGGATTTTTATGGTATTAGGTCTAACATTTAAGTCTCTAATCCATCTTGAATTAATTTTCGTATAAGGAGTAAGGAAAGGATCCAATTTCAGCTTTCTACTTATGGCTAGCCATTTTTTCCAGCACCATTTATTAAATAGGGAATCCTTTCCCCATTTCTTGTTTTTCTCAGGTTTGTCAAAGAGCAGATGGCTGTAGATGTGTGGTCTAGAATAATCAATGCAGAGAAGGACATAAACAAACTGACAGCGATTAAAGTCCATATGAACTTTAAAGTAGTTTTTTCCAATTCTGTGAAGAAAGTCAATGGTAGCTTGATGGTGATGGCATTGAATCTATAAATTACCTTGGGCAGTATGGCCATTTTCATTGATTCTTACTATCCATGAGCATGGTATGTTCTTCCATTTGTTTGTGTCCTCTTTTATTTCACTGAGCAGTGGTTTGTAGTTCTCCTTGAAGAAGTCCTTCACATCCCTTTTAAGTTGAATTCCTAGGTATTTTATTCTATTTGAAGCAATTTTCCATGGGAGTTCACTCATTATTTGGCTCTCTGTTTGTCTGTTATTGGTGTGTAAGAATGCTTGTGATTTTTACACATTGATTTTGTATCCTGAGACTTTGCTGAAGTTGCTTATCAGCTTAAGGAGATTTTGGACTGAGACGATGGGGTCTTCTAAATGTGCAATCAGGCTGGAGAAAGAAATAAAGGATATGCAATTAGGAAAATAGGAAGTCAAATTGTCCCTGTTTGCAGATGACATTGGAAAATGATCTGTGTGCACTTCAGAAGAAAGTATATCCTACTGCTGTTGGATGAAATGTTCTGTATATGTTTGTTAGGTCCTTTTGGTCTAAAGTATAGTTAAAGACCAGTATTTCCTTACTGATTTTCTTTCTGGGTGATCTAATGTTGAAAGTGTGGCCTCGACACGCCCCACTTTTGTATTTTTGTATTGCAGTTTATCTCGTTTCCCTACCAACAATGTGAAAGAATTCCCTTTTCTCTTCATTCTTGCCAGCATTTGCTACTTTTCGTTATATTTGATAATAGCCATCTTAACTTGGGTGATATGATTCTGCATTATGATTGTGGTATGTATTTCCCTGATGAATAGTGACGTTGAGTATCTTTTCATATATTTGTCAGCCATTTGTATGTCTTCTTTTCAGAAATGTCTGTTCAGATTGTTTGCCCATTTTAAAATCAGATTATATTATTTTTGCTGTTAAGATGTTCAGTACCTTGTGTACTCTGGATATTAATCCCCTGTGAGGTAAATACTTTGCAAATAGTTTCTCCCATTCTATGGGTTGTGTTTTGCTCTCTTGAATTTTTTCCTTTGCTGGGCAGATAACTTTGTTTGATATAACCCCACTTGTTTAATTTTGCTTTTCTTGCCAGTGCTTTCGAAGTCTGAGAGACAGCTGCACCCCCATGTTTATTACAGCACTATCCACAATAGCAAAGATATGGAATCAACCTAGGTGTCAACAACAGATGAATAGACAAAGAAAATGTGGTATATATACACCATGAAATACTATTCAGCCATAAAAAAGAATAAAATCCTGTTATTCATGATAACATAGGACTGAAGGACACTATGTTAAGCGAAATATGCCTGAAACAGAAAGTTAAACATTTATTGTTCTTACTCATATGTGGAAGCTAAGAAAAGTTGATCTCATAGAAGTAAAAAGTGTAACAGAGGATACGAGAGGCTAAGGAAGGTAATGAAAAAGAAGAGAGAAGGGTAAATTTGTTAAAAGATACAAAATCACAACCATAGGAACACTTTTTAGTGTTCTATGCTACAGTAATATATCATATAATTTCAAATTGCTAGAAGAAGGATATTGAACATTCCCAATACAAATAAATGACAAATGTTTTAGATGATGGATACACCAATTATCCAGATATGGTCATCATACATTATACATACCAAAAACATCACCATATATCTCATGGATATAGGTAAACATTATTTGTCAATAAAATAAAATAATACATTTTAAAAATATTTGCTCTTATGTTTAGTGCATATATATTTAAGATGTTATATCCTCATGATGAAACATCCCTTTAATCATTACATAATGACCTCCTCTGTCTTTTTATAGTTTTACTTACATTTCATCTCTTTAAATATGGCTACCCCTGCTCTCTTTGGTTTTCATTTGCATGGAATATCATTTTCTATTCCTTTATTTTCAGTCTATTTATGTCCTTAAATATGAAGCAAATCTCTTGGAGGCAGTATGTAGTTTGATTTTATCTTTTTATTCATTTAGCCACTCTGTGTCTTTTGTTCAGATAATTTAATTCATTCACATTCCAGATAACTGTTGGTAGGTAAGTAGAGTCATCCCTCGATGACTTTAGGCAATAAGTTCCAAGACCTCCCTGTGATTATCAGAATCTATAGATGCTTAAGTCCCTTACATAAAATGTCATAGTATTTGCATATAATGTATGTGCATCCTGTTGCATGATTTATACTAACTCTAGATAACTTATAATATCAAATAAAATGTAAATAGTTGTTATACTGGTTTTAAAATTTTGTATTATTTTTATTGTTGTGATGTTATTTTATTTATTTATTTATTTTTGATATTTTTGATCTGTGGTTGATTGAGTCCATGAATATAAAAACCTATGAATACACCAGAAAACTGACTGTGCTTAGTACCTCCATTTTATTAATTGTTTTCTGGTTGTTTTTTACACCCTTTGTTCCCTTCCTTTTCTTTTGCTTCATCTTTCTCTTTTGTCTTCATTTATTCATAGTTTATTTTCTCCAGTATATGCTTTGATTTTTTTATGTTTTCTGTTTTTGTAAATGCTCTATAGGTTTTTGATTTGTAGTTACCATAAGGATTGCATAACACATCTTATGGTTATCATAGACTATTTTAAGTGAATAAATACGTAACTTTGATTGCATTTAAAAAGTCTACACTTTTATTCTACCTCCTCCCCACATTTTGTGTTTTTACTGTCAACAATTTACACAATTTATGTTATTTATTTTTAAACAAATTTCTGGATTTTTAAAAACTATTTCAATCTCTTCATCAAATTTCTCCATTTCTTTGTTTGCTGTTTGCTTGATTTTGTTGAATTATTTCTCTGTACATTCTTGAACTTTACTGCACTTCCTTAAGACAATTATTGTAAAGTCTGTGTCTGGTAGTTCATAGGTCTCTGTTTCTTTGGAGACAGATACTGGAAAATTGTTGTGTTCCTTTGGTCGTGATATTCCCTTTTGGTTTTTCACGTTTCTTGTTGTCTTAAGTAGATTTCTCTGCATTTGTTGGAGCAGTCATCTCTTCCAGACTTTACAGACTGGTTTCAATAAGGAAAGAACTTCCCCTGTGTGGAGGTGTGAGGGAATTGGCTGAGTAAAACACAACAGCTCTGACTATTGTGACGGTGCAGCAGTGTTTGTGTAGCTCTATCAGCTGAGGTTGGCATTGATGAAGATTGAAGGGAACTTCAGTAGCCAATGATGTAGATATTTGAAGTGGTGACAAAAATTGTTGTGGTCTTTGGTGGCTATGGCTGCTAAAGTCCTTTCTGTCTCTTTTTCTCCCACTGGGGATGTTGTGGCTGAGGGAATCCCTCTTGGCACTGGATCCAGCTTGAGAAACTGCTTGTGGTAATTTTGGCATAAATGTCTGACGAGGGGTACCCTAGTGGAAGCCATGGATCTGAAGCCATAAGTGCAGGTATGAATGGAGGTACTACGATCTGTGGTTTGGGATAGTAATGGCAGCAGTATCTAGGCCCAGGAATTCCAGTGCCCAAACTATAATGATATGCAAGGTGCAGGTGCTTTTGAAATAGCCAGGGACCTTGTGATGGAAGTATGGGTAAGTGCAGAGCTACAGTGGCTCTGGGTTTGAGGTAGAAACTAGTTCTCTATGGTGGCTGATCTGGTACTCAGCACACAGTCACTCACAAAAACCATCTTGGTTCTAGGACCAGAGTTCATATACCTAGAATGTATAATTTTCTTTTTGGAGTCAGACACATAGTTTTTTGAATTGAAATATATGGGGACAAGGGGATGAGAGTGAGATTTTATAATATTAACAACCATAAAGGTATCTTCATGAATTTTCATTTTGGAAGCTACAAGAAAAATGAGTGTAGGTAGATATGGAAAGTCTGAATTACTGGTTTCTTAGAAGACACTGCATATGAGTGCTGACTTAGACATTAATATTGTAAAGAAGACAGAGAACTAAACATGAGCTCACAGTGAGTGCCAAATCATTTAAATCAATCATATGACAAAAATGTGACAGGTATTTTGAGGATTCACTTTATTTCAGTTACATCAAAAGCCATTGTACTACCTAGATAAATTACATATCTATCAAGCTCCTCTGTAGGATAAATGAGTCTTTCATTGGCAACTTTTATAACTCAGTCAACATTTTAAAAATCAATAATTTATTATTTTTGGTACTACATTAAAAATATTCTTGACTATCTGACTACCGTAATCTTATTGCATTTTACTTGCCTTCATCTCAGTGTATCTAATAACTCTATACTTAAAAGAAACCTTTAAAAATATAAAAAATAATTGTTTCTCTGCTACTATTATTATTATTATTTTGAGATGGAGTCTCACTCTGTCACCCAGGCTGGAGGGCAGTGGCACAATCTCAGCTCACTGCAGTCTCTGCCTCAGCCTCCTGAGTAGCTGGGATTGCAGGGATGCACCACCACGCCTGGCTAATTTTTTGTATTTTTGGTAGAGGCAGGGTTTTGCCATGTTGGCCAGACTGGATTCAAATTCCTGACCTCAAGTGATCCACATGCCTTGGCCTCCCAAAGTGCTGGGATTACAGGCGTCAGCCACCATGCCCGGCCTCCGCTATTATATTTTTAACCTAAGTATCTTCTCTAGAATTCACAAAAGCTCTCCAGAGTTTTTTCATGGATATCTTCATTTCTTTGTTTCTCAGAGTATAGATAATTGGATTCAAGATAGGAGTGATGATGGTGTAAAATACAGCAAGGAACTTATCTACAGAGTAGTTGCTGAAGGGCCAGATATAGATGAAGATGCACGGGCCAAAGAAGAGAATCACCACTGTGATGTGAGCAGTCAAAGTGGAACGGGCTTTAGATTGCCCAGTGGGAGAGTGGTTCTTAATGGTTATGAGGATCAGACTGTAGGAGATAAGCAAAATAATGAAACAGCTCAGGGAGATTATGCCACTGTTGGCAACAATGACTATTTGTACAAGATATGTGTCTACACAGGCAAGCTTAGTAACTAAAGGGAGGTCACAAAAAATGCTGTCTACCACATTGGGACCACAAAAGGGCAAGTTCACAGCAAACGGTATCTGAAGCCCTGAGTGAAGGAGACCCAAGAGCCATGAGGTCACTACAAGCAAAACACATACCTTCTTGTTCATGATGGTCATGTAGTGTAGGGGCTTACAAATGGCCACATATCTGTCAAAAGCCATGGACACCAACAGTACCATTTCAACCCCACCCAGTAAGTGAAGGAGAAATATCTGAGTGAAGCACTCAGCAAAAGAAATTATCTTCTGCTTTTTTAACAAGTTCAGAATCATCTTAGGGGTGGCAAAGGAAGCAAGGGTCATATCTACAAAAGAGAGATTACCAAGGAGAAAATACATGGGAGTATTCAGGTTAGGGGTTTTAAACACTGTGACTATAATAAGAAGGTTACCCAAAACTGTGACCACATAGATAACAGAGAAGAGGGCAAAGAGAAGAAACTCTATATCCTGGGAGCTGGTCAGACCCAGCAAAATGAATTCTGACACTTGAGATTGATTTAATAGTTCCATGGACTCCATCATACAGCTCGCTCTTAGATAACCTGTAGAGAGAAAGAAAAGATCACTCATACCATGGAGTATGAGTGAAAAATAAAGAGCCATTTGAAAAACCAAACTTATGCATTCCTTTGGATCTTTCAATAAATTGACCTTGAAATTTACTGTCAGTATCTATTAAGTCTAAAAAAGGAGACGTATAGTCTAAGCTGTCCACTTCCATCCAAGAGCAATAACCTGTTGATGCCACTGGTTTCCCGGAAGCAAACCACAAGCTCTGGAGTGTGTAAGTGTATCTTCATAGGACAAAAGAGATAGAACCATCCTCAGGAAATCTGTGGTTTTCTGGGTTGAAAGAGAGTTTAGTCTGAATTCCTTGGAGAACAAAGGGTTTCAGCACAGCCTCTACTCTTTCAAACTCAAAATTTTAAATTTGAATGGATATTGGAGTTGTTGTTTTCCCATAATGACCTTAAGAAATTCTGTTTTTGTTCTGAATCATCCCCAGAGTTTTGAAGGGACTCTGACCCAGCAGATTTAAAGCTGCTCTAGATATGTGAGTTAGTGAGGTTTCAAGTAATGCAGACTGCTGTGTTTTTCCTCCTTATCTTCCACCAACCCATAAGTGGGCTTCTAGTCTTGTAACTCTCTTAGAAAGTCTTTTTGGCAAATATTATTTTTTCTGATGTGACTGCTAGTACTCATGGCCTCCTGTGGCTGAAACCCATATTTCTAAATAATTTCTATAAGGTGAAAGGAGGCTGAGATTAAGCAACATGGATAAATACTCTGGGTCTATGTGTCCCTGTCACATTCTAACAAGAGCCACGTTTTACAGAGGAAGCAAGAAAGACACTGTGAGCAAAAGTGACATACTTGTGACATCTAACATCTTGATTCTTGCTTCCAGTTCACATATCACACCCCCTTTATTTATAAAATTGTATACCTTGAGCAAACCAGGTTTAACAATTTATACATGAACCTAGTCTTCACTAGAACATCATTCACATTTATTTACATAACACTGATATGGTAATGAGTGGCAACAGCCTCCATACTGGAGCGTTCAGACTGGGGAATATGACTGTAACTACTATATGGCTAAAATGAGTAGACCATTATGTTCCAATCTGGAAAACAATATTGTGTGTGTGTGTGAGAGAGAGAGAGAGAGAAAGAGAGAGACAGATTATGCAAAAACTTCTGATTAAGAAGCAGAATAATTAATTGCACAAAAAAGAGAGGTCAGATTGAAAGTCATGTATTCTACGCTTCCATGTGCTAAGATGTGAGAAGAATCAGTAGGCTATTTGGAAAGAACATTCAAATGAAGATGGCAGACTGGGACTGGCAATCACCTTTGTCTCCAACAGCTGTCTTATCTTTCCCTCTGGGTCTCAGTTTCGCGATTGGTAAAACCAGGTTGTTGAGTTCAAATCCTGAGTTACTTCTCAGGCCCAATACTTCAGAGGCCTGTCATTAATGTCCTATTATCTTTTATGAATCTATTATTCTATCCCCATTGCAGGGTTTTATTATTTGTTAGCTAATTTGATTTTAACTTTGAATCAACTCAAATATAAATATCAGGTATAGCTGTGTGAAAAATAGTTGTCTAAAATTTGTCTGTGATATATCTTTATCTCTTATCTCTTTTCTTACAATGTTTTTAAAAATTGTGACATTGTCTTTGCTCTAGGGCCATATTACCCTATTTTGCTCCCTAGAGCTCATGTCACTTGGTCACTTGACTGTGCTGATCCTCCCCAAAATTAATATTAATATAGTTAACATTAACTTTAAGCCCTAATATATTTATCTACTATGTATGCTTCAGAAAGTTTAAAATATATAGAAACTTTGAGATCTTTCACTTCTCAGAATGTATCATGAGGATTATGAATGTGCTATAAAATCTTCATGGTAACAGTACTGTAGATACACAAAAGTTGAAACATTCCAAATGTTCTAAATTGAGGCTTACTTTCTTAAATGGATTATAGAAAATTATAGGATGTAATATTGCGTATTTAATGAAATAATACTTGAGAAAACTATTTAACAACATGAAAATATTTACATCATTTTAAGTTAAAAACAGTATGAACCCATTTTGTAAACATTATATAAGCATATACATACATTTATACATTTCTTTTTTTTTTATTTTCCTTTAGGTTCTAGGGTACATGTGCACAACATGCAGGTTTGTTACATATGTATACATGTGCCATGTTGGTGTGCTGCACCCATTAACTCGTCATTTACATTAGGTATATCTCCTAATGCTATCCCTCCCCCCTTCCCCCACCCCACAACAGTCCTCGGTGTGTGATGTTCCCCTTCCTGTGTCCAAGTGTTCTCATTGTTCAGTTCCCACCTATGAGTGAGAACATGCAGTGTATATTGCTTAAAATATTGGATAATGCCACAACTATGAACAAAGAGCTTATTTTTGCTATGGTGATGTGACTAGTCCCAAAAGAACTTCATGCTGAAAATATTCCTTCATACAAATGCCAGGACCTAAAAACACTTGTGCTCAGATACATATTTTTGGAGTAAGAGAGTGTTCAGAAGATGTCTGTAAACAAAGAAAGTGAAACAGAACAGGCAAGTTCGCTTTTTATTATTTAATCTAGTTTAGTTCCAAATTGTTGCAGTCTTTCATAATTTGGGGAATAATATGCCCAAGGCTATGCAAGAAAGTGCTGTAAGCAGTCAGTGGTTTCGCTATAGTAATTATAAGATGAGGGCCTCAGAACTTCTTGTCTGAGCTTGACAGTGGCTTCTTTAAATAGATTAATTATAGGACAGTTTTATTAACCCTATTATATTCTAACTTTTGAAATCAAGTAGTATTTATTTGTAAATATATAAGATAACTTATAATTAGATATGATGCTTTATAATAGGAAAACATAGGCAAGACGATACTTAAAGATAGCTGTGATAGTGATGAGTGGGGGAAGCAGTTCTCACTAACACTCAGGTGGCGTGATCCCCAGGACTCAACCATTCACTCACACTCTGTCCTTAGGCAAATTACTTCAGTGAATGAGGACTTGGGAAAGCAAATCAGTGTGAGATCAAGAAATGGAGATAATGGGTGGGACATTCATTTTAAGAAATTTCAGGGTAAAGACACAGGCGTGATAACATAGCAGACAGAATGGAAACTGAATTAAGACTGATCTTCCTGGAATGGTGAAGATTTAAATACATTTCATATTGATATAAAATAGTCAAAAGATCTTAAAAATGCAATAAAGGTATTTTTAACAAATCATACTAGAAAAATTGGATATGCCCAACAATGGGTAAAAAATTAAGATCAACCTATACCTCACAACCTCTACAAAAATTAACTCCAAATTGGATCATAAACCTAAATGCAATACGTAAAACTAAATTTCCTGGGAAAAGGACATGGGAAAAAATATGCATGAATTTGATTTAGGCAAATACTTTTTAGACACACCTCCAAAAACATGATCCGTGGAAAAATATAATAAATTGCACACAAGATACAGAATAGGTCTGCATCTTTCTTTCATTTTTACCATGCCATCTGTGTGTGAGGGTAACATGAAGTCCCCACCTGCCTAACCTGAGACTACCAATATTTTAATTAAAGTGTTTGTAAAAAGAATGTATCCTTTGTAGAACAGCCATTTGGTTTACAGTCATTCACAGAAACAGAGACAGAGCTATGTTCTAGAACCAAGCTGCATCAACTCTGCACATTTTCAATTGTAGGATTTTACACTTGCTTGCTATAGTGCTTCTTTTACTTATGAACAAATAGATATTCACAAATGGGCTTAGAAACTTATATCTAGGGATCTCACTTGTTTGAAAATACAGAAAATTCTCTATCTGATATTTAAAAACTTCTATATTTTTCTCCTGTTTCTATTTATGTTCACAAGAGCTATACAACTGGCTTCAGTCAAATTTCTATTCACAGCCTATTAATGGAGCAACACAAAGTATAAAGGAAATGAAGGAAGACCATTATGATCTAGTCACTCCAAGCAGGGTTGGCCCAAAGACAATGTTAGGCAATGAGAAGAAAACTGTGGGTTTTCTGTACCATTGTAGTCCAGTGATCATTATTTTTTATGTTAGAAACTCTTACAAGTATGTATGTTATATCACAGATATTTATAAATAATACAACTTAGACAAGTTGAGTATTTAAATTAAAATAGTGTATACAAAGCACATATTACAGCATCTAGCATATAGTTGGCACACAATAAATGTTAGTTATTGCTACTATTCCTACTACTAACTGGCTAAAGTTCATATAGATAAAATCATGGGATTCAAATTCAGGACTTCATGACACCAAATTAAGAGTCTATAACCCTAGAGTAAGACTGAATTTTAGCATTGCCACTGCAAGTTTTTAAATAACTGTAATTGTTGATAATACAATTATTAGAATAAATAGGTAAATATGTATAAAAAAGAAAATGTTGGATTGAATTAATTGCACTATTATCACACTTAGACATTGATTTATTTTTCATATTTTGTTGCTATTTGAGTAGAACTGTCTGCTGCCCCGAGGCAAATTCTTGCATGACCTAATTAAAACATAATTTTACTTTGGCATGGGATTGATATAATGCCATATTTCATTCCTCCTTATTCACAAGTTATGTTCTACTTTAAAACATAGTATGTTAGCCTTCACTATGACAAATTGTATCAATAGCTATGTCAAAGATAGACTTTAATACTGATCTGGCCTTAATGGTTTACCAGATTACTATTGGCAGCAATTGAGAACACTTGGATGCCTACAGCATTTTGCATAATACAAGTTTAATAATTTTTCATCATTATTTCTCAGGATTCATATTTTCAACCATGGTCTTAGAAATGTGCATACATTTGTATCTTATCTGAAATAATTTGAAATTCAGGGAAAAATCTGACAGGATATTGCCTCCCGATTTTTACCTAATTCTCACACCAGAACAACAAACTCACTTACTCCTGCCTGCCGGGTCTCACCTCGACAGAAGTACTGTAAACCTTATCTGAGGAAAACATGTATATCAGGTTCAAGGACTTGAGCTGGTGCTGTG